CCCCCCCCCCCCCCCCCCCAGTATCTTCACGTAACTGAGAGTTGATGTGCATGTATCTTCGTGTAAGTGTGTTCACGTACGTGTGTCTAGTATATCCACAGGTAAAACAAGCAACAGATGGACAAGTGATAACCAGCGGGCCTCTTTACCTTGCCGAAGTATAAACAGTTTCTCAGAAACTTTCACAGATATCAAGGACAATTCTATAGGACTCTGTAGACACACCAAGACACTAGAATTACAACGACTGAGAGATCTGAGCATGCTGCCTCAAGAACAGGTGAAAGAGAGGACTTGAAACTCAAGACACTAGGTATGTAAATTTGAACCGTAAGACACTAAACAAAAGGGGACACTCATAAAACATGTCCACATGAGAGGGAACAGAGCTCAAAAGAGAAGAGGGAAATTAACACATGAAACAAAAGGGGAAGATTGTCAAATATATCGACATGACAGGATTTGGAACTCAAGACACAAGCAAAAAAAGGTGAATTATAAAACATGTCTACATGGAAGGGATTGGAGCTTAAGACACAAAACAAAGGGAGAAAGTTATAAAACACATCTACATGAGAAGACTTGGGAAGTCAAAACACAAAACAAGAAGGGGGGAAGGATTGTTAAACATATCGACCAGAAAGGACTGGAACTCATACACGCAACCAGAAGGGTAAATTATAAACCACGCCTACAATGTACATGAGAAGACTTGAAACAAAACCGGAGAACTATGAAACAAGGCTGAAGTGAGAGAGGGAACAACAAAAAAATACAACAATGAAGCTGTCAAGTCTGTCCAAAGTTGAAATGTAAATATATTCAACGACACAAAACACTCTTCCTCAGATCTGAAAAATGGCACATACATTTGGCAGAGTGCATGCTCTCTGACCAACATTGTATACCGTACTGCGAATATGTCAGTGCGTGGGTGTGTCAATAACCATGAGTGTACACTTCAACCTGGAGAATTGTTACCTCTGTTTATTAAAATGACTCACAGCAACACAGTACAAGAACACATCTGATATGGATACAAATAGATAATTAAAAAAACAGGTCAGGGATACTGCAAAGATCAATGTAACATACCGGTGAGTTCCTGCATCAGAGTAAACCACAAAATTGTGGGGGAAAAAAAACAAAACAAATTCAGCACATTTTTTTAAGTTACTTGTTTCCACACAAAAAACAACAGAAGAACATTCTAAACTCCCACCTCCGAGTAAATATATCTGTTGTTAGAACAAAATAGAGATGCTCACAGCATTCTAGAATATTCAATCCCTCCTGAGAACTTTCCTGCACAAAAAATCACAGAAAGTAGACTGCACAGTCAGAATCTCCAAACATGATTTCGATCCTCCAATGAGCCAAAACTTGTAGTTTTCTGCCTTACTGCTACATTCAATTTCACTTAGGCATTTCCTTGTGAATAAAAGTAGAAAAAAGTAAAGTTCCACTTTTTCTCTCTTCTTTTCCGAGTCAAAAGATGGAGCAAATAGGATTGAGTTAGGACTGTAACAATGTCAACTCTTCTCAATAGTAACCATCTAACATATTGACGTGCTGCTACATAAAATGTTATAAAAGAGACATAAAAATTGTTTCGAAGGACCTTTTTTATTCAAATGTCAGTTGAAGTCCTTTCTGTTTTTTAAATTAATAAGATGAATATTTGGAGTGATTTTCTTTTAGTCAGAACAAAACGTTTTATGTTACTGTTGCACGTTGTACTGTATTGTAAAGCGCTCAGAGCCTGTGTACTTTAATCAAAGTTGAGCGTTATATAAATGTCATTTAGTATTATTATCATTATTTTCTTAATTATAACTCTATAAACTATAGGCCAAAATATCTCCATCTTTAACCCCACCTCCATAAATGGTTTGTTTTGGGTTTTTTCTTTTTAAAAAACCACATTGACTCAATAACAGTCATTTAGTACTTGCAAAAAAAAGAAGACAGACAGACAGGAACAAAAGAGGAAAAGAAAAGTAGAACCTACCACAAGTGCCCCCCAACCACTTGTTAACTCAGAAAATTGACAAATCCCCCAGAAACAGAAATATAACCAGACTGATTGGGACTTACCAGCACCATGTTCCTCAGCGTGTTACACTGGGCGTCTGTGGCCAGTCCATCAGCCACAAACCGTTCTTTCCCCTGAAGGTCATCACTTTTCTTCACGATCTTCACACCTGGGGGTGCAAAAGTTCAATAGTCAGACCACGATTCCTTCACTTCTACGGAATAATCAATTTAAGTTAAGTATAGCACCCAATATCACATTTTGCTTAAAAAAGTGTCCCCTGAAGGTCATCACTTTTCTTCTCGATCTTCACACTGGTGGTGCAAAAGTTCAATAGTCAAACCATGATTCCTTCACTTCTACGGAATAATCAATCAAAGTTAAGTATAGCACCCAATATCACATTTTGCTTTAAAAAGTGTCCCAACCCAGGGGTACCGGGGAGGGGGGGTCCACATCGGGGATGTTGCTATGTCTTACAAGAACAGGAAACAGAAGAGAAGGTTGTGCACCTGTGATCATCGGTATCTGTAAAGACGGGGGGGAGGGGGGGTTATACTTTATTTTTACTGAATAATCTCCTAATATTTCTACTCATATAGATTCCTGTAAGATGTTGTTACCCGCTGGATTAGACCAAGGTGTTTCCTACTTCATTAGAGTAGTTTATTTTTCAGTTTCAACATTCATTATTTTTATGGAAGTAGGGTCGAAATTGTCCAAGACAGCCGTCCATTGTTGAGAAGAAATGTGGTTGTCTTATACAGGTGATGTCTTGAACAATGTCATCATTATAACAAAAACATGCAAGAGAGGAAGTCGGAAGTGGTCATCTGTACAGGTGGTTGTCTTGGACAGTGATCGTTAGAGTAGGTTCAACTGTACTCGTATTTAAACAACATGCTTAAGTCTTATATACATTACTCCTAATTACTTTTATCATCAAACGCTTTTATGACGACTGTTGTCTTGGACAGTGGCCATTCGAGTAGATTCAACTGTATTCGTATTTAAACAACATGCTTAGGTCTTATATATACATTATTCATAATTACCTTTATCATCAAACGCTTTCATGACAACCTCGGAACTCTTCTGTGCACTCGCCAGTCTCAGCTCGTCCACTCTGTGCAACAAAGAGAGAGTGTCCTGGTATTCTTTCTCATCATCGCTGCGGTAGATGGTGTAGTCAATGACCATGGCACAGCGCTGGCTGTTGCCCTTGGGGATCTTCAAAGTGTGGCGGTCGCCAGAGTTGAAGCCTACAGTACGTCCACACTTCACGCCAAACGAGTTCTGAGCAAGAGATGTACAACCCAGTGAAAGCATAACCTCGGCCAGAAGTTCAGATAAACTAGACCCAACATTTTCAAAATTAACATACACAGAAAAGAAGGCAGAGACATAAGGAGACAAGAGATTTGGAAGCAAAAAAGAAGTGAACCACAATAGAATGCCTCCAAACCACCCATGAACAAAGTTTGAATTACAAGGAAAGAGGAAAAAGCTGAGTAGGGAAGTTTTTAGTCCAAACATGACACATTGAAACCCTCAGGAAGCATTACATCTAAGCAACGAGAACATGTAGTTTCAACTTGAGTGTAACATCTCCTAATCAGGTGGTAGAGGCATCAGACTCGTAAAGTTAGGACAGAGGGTTCCATTCCAAACAGCATGGGGTAGGAGTTTCAGCCTCAGTTGAAAAATACTTTAACCATTCATCTATCAATCCATTCATCCACCCATCCATACATCTATCCATCCACCAATTCATACAAATGGAATTTTACTCCATGAACCTAACAGTAAAACAGATAGTCACCAATTCACCAAGAGAAACACATGAACATGGTAGTGATAATGACCAAAAAAGAGCAGCAACACTATGAACTCCCAGGAGACGACAACATGAAATTAACTTGGCACTAATTGAAGAGCAGCAGACACAGTGAGCAGCAAATCATATGGGGCTTCACGTATAAGAAATGCTGAAACCAAGAGAGAAGCCTGCAAGCTATGCACATTAACAACAAGAAGTGTTGCTTTTAAATGTTCAAAATGTGGCAAAATTTTCTCTGCTAAAATTGGTCTCATCAGCCACAGCAGATGCCACAAGTCATATTAACCTTTAATTCTTTTAAATCTTCTAGTTCGCTAAAGAAATATTCTCCTCTGCAGATGTATTGGTCATCATCACAATTTGACGGATGAGCCATTAAAGAAAGTTACATGTACTGTGAAATTGTGTGAGCTCTCTGCACAGAGATACAAGACAACATATTACATCGTATTTTATTGTTTTAGTTGAGGTTTTACGGCGCTCATGTATGTGAGGTCATATGAGCACCAAGGGGTGGATGTCAACAGAGAAGTCCTTACAGGGAATCAGGCTTACTCTGCTCACCTCTCTAGCATCAACAGCACAAAGTCTGCTTCCACTATCAAGGCACCCCGGAAAAGGAAGGTCACAAGAGCGTGACAAACATACAAAAGTATAGGAAAAATGACGATAGTAAGGATTAGGAAAGAAAAAGCAGCAGTTCCCTGTTGCACTCCAGGCACAGTTTTGAGCATGACATTGATGAATCAGCCCATTTACAAATATAATTCTACAGTGCATAAGAACATGGTTAATGTCCCCCCTTTGGGAATGGCCTGAAGACACTTCTGTCAGTATCACCGCCCCGGGGGATAACATATACATCAAGCTAGAACTTCCACAACAAGTACTTACATCCACTCCTCTGTTCTCACCGAGGAAAACAAAATCTCCATCTTCATCTGCCGTGTTGAGGTACGTCACGGTGCTGAAAAGAAAAATATACATAAGAATAAAAACAAAACTAATTCATTTCTCAGAGTAAAAAAAGGAAAAAAACACTACATAAAATGACTCCATAGAGTATAAAATGTTTAGGCATGGTACATATATATAGGAACTTTAGCCTTCTTCAATCTGAATAAAGACAATGCTCTACACAACAAAATATCAAAAAACACATCCGGCATTCAAAACATTCTTGGATCTAGCATTGTAGAAAACAATAAAATATACCGACGCAGATAGGTGTGTACAAAAGATCACAATTCCGAGAGAAAAAAGTACAACCCATTGTTACTGCAAACATATAACACCCCTACTGTCCCAATTTATATCATTTATAAGGCAGCTGCTTTCACCCTGCATACCCTAGCTGAGAGAGATACAACATCCCCAAAAATCTGTCTCCCCCGCTCAATATCAGTCATAAGACGCAGTGTGCTATTATCAGCTACGAGGCTCGAAAGTCAAAAAAGTGACTTTCCATGAAATTTTTTTATTTTTAGATTAATTGAAAGTTTGATGTCTTCTGCTTCATTTAAGATAAAAAATAAACGACTAATTGACTCTAGATTTCAAGACTCTGTCTCAATTCTAAGACCCCCATTCATTATCATCATCAATGCCTTTCACCCCTGGCAGGGTATAGGCCACATACAAGCTCCTTCCATTTATCTGTCCTGAGCCATCCTTCCAAGCTCGTTCCAAGTGAGCTTCATCTCTCTCGTGTCCCTTTCCACACATCTCCACCATGTTTCCCGTGGCCTACCCCTGCCTCGTGCTTCTTGTGGGTTCCACTGCAGTGACTGTCTTGTGATGTTTCCGCTGGACTTTCTTAAGGTGTGTCCCATCCATCGCCACTTTGTAAGTCCTATTTCTACTTCTATATCCTTTTCCTGTCCTTTCCCACAGCTCTTCATTTCTTATTCTATCCTGCAACTTAATTCTTAGAATACTCCTCATACATCTAAGACCCCCATTGCTATGGAAAAATGTTGCTCAACTTCGGAGGCCATTTTCTCCTTTTCGTGTTTCCTCACCTCGCACAATTAAAAGTTCTGTATTTTCGTCAAATATGGTCATATTTACTTCATTCTTGTTTTAAATTGTAGGGAAAAGGTAATAGTTTTTGAAAATAAGGTTAACTCAGTTTTGAAATTTCCTTCATATACCTGATATTGACCGGCAGGGACACAAATAGATAGAGATACGAGTATTTTAAAAAACCTCCACACATTGCGACTGAACTTGTATCTTCTGATGCCAGTGCAAAGATTTCTGTATCTGGGATCTTTTCACCATAAAATATGTGCCTACACTTCCTTCATTATTCTGTTTACAATAATCACTGATATCCCCATCACCAACATAACTGTACCGTACCCCCCCCCCTCCCCCCCCACCCTGCACTAACAAGACTTTTAGTTTTAGTAAGTTTTATGGCACTCGCAACTGAAGAAGGTCAAATGAGCGCCAGAAGATTAGACGTGTTATAAGAGAGTAACAAACATATAAAAGAAGAAGGGGAGATAAGGACGATAGATGTTTGATAGGAAAGAAGAAGCAAACCCCGCTACAGCACCCGCCAACCACCCACAGACTACAACACTAAACTGACAGATGACACACAACTCACGTGAAGGCGTCCACGTAAAGCTCATCCGACATGTCGTCAAACCTGACACAAGACCCGTGCTCCTGGCGGTAACAGTCCAGTTTCTCTTTCAGTTCTGCAGGTTCAAAAAAAATATTTCAACATTTCCACAAACTGCTACTAATGCTACAACTTCTCCTCCTCATCCTCTTTTCTCTCCTCCTCCTTTTCCTCCAACTTTTCCTCCACCTCCTCCTCCTTGCTGCTGCAACTACTGCAGCTGTTGCTTCTGTTCATCCTCCTCCTCCTTCATCATTCAATGTATAAAAAGATTGAGAAAAAGAATTAATGAACAAACGAATAAACACACAATGCATTATTAGCTGTTCCAAGCACCATGTAGAGATTTCCATATATTCTGCATATGTTCTTTGTATTATGGTACAGCGCATTGAGCACTTCTTTGTAGAAATGCGCTATATAAATGCAATTTTCTATTGTTACTTGGCAAGAAATTCGGATCCTTCAAAAATTGTCCAAATATTCCCCACTTTATGCCTCATAACATGACTACTTCCCCTCAGAGACAACACAACACATCAGAGATGACACGATGCACTCACCAGATGGCTGAGACCAGCACACAACCGACGTGTGTTTCAAATAATAGGCGTCCGGTGCCTCCGTGTACCTCTGTGTGTAGTGTCTGATGGCTTCAGCCGCTCGGATGAACAATCTCAGAGACGCTTCGTACTCTTCATCAGGGCTTCGCTCCAGTCTCTGAAACAGAAAAAAAAATGTTTTTCAAGTTTTCATAAGAGTTGAACAGCATTTGCAATAAAAATGTGTCACATAAAGTGCCTGAGATTAGACATGTTACTAGAGACTAACACTCTAAGAAAAGGAGGAGAGATAAGAACAATAGATGTTTGATAGGAAAGAAGGACCAAGTGATTTTCAAGTTTGTAAATATTTGTATGGTAAAAACACCTGCAGCTTGACCCTTCACCTTTACACAGCAGGGTTTTCTTTTGAGAGCTAAAACTTCAAATTACTGAGACACTGTAACTATTGCTCCAACTGTAAGTTGACCATATCATCTGCACTTTTTAGTTTTATTACGGTTTTATGGTTCTCACAACTGCATAAGGTCATATGAGCACCAAGAGGTGGATATCAACACAGAAGTCCAAACAGGGAATCAGGCTTACTCTGCTCACCT